ATTCCAAATCTCTGTTGAATTAAAATTCCGCCAGCTGTCATTAAAAGATTCGATCCCAGGTGCCCAGAATACTATTGTGTATCTGGATTACTGGTTGACTGATAATACATTATGTCATTTATCTCCCACAAAAATTACTAATCAATGAAGAATTGTCTGTCCCAAGTCATCTCTTCCTTCCTAGTAGGTTCCGAGGGTTCAAGATCCTTTTGATTCTAAATGTTGAGTAATCACTTTAAGTGTTTCATCCTTACAAGATCCTGCTTTTTATTTCTAGCTTCAATCTATGAACTAACTTCCTCACTGTAATCTCAAAGATTTCAAATAATGCAGTTATATTTTCTTCTCCCAGAAAAGTTTCAGCATCCATTAAAACCATTTTGAAAGTCCGTTCATGAAATGTACTTCAGAACAACACTCCTGTTTTTATGATAAGTACCTCCATGTAGGCTTTTCTTTAAAAAGGTTCACAGATCCCTCTTAATTTTAACAATTTTCTATCTTGAATGAGCTCCCGCTTTGAGACGATCCCAGCTAATGGTAATATATTGAACAAGTCAGATGCCAGTGAAACTTGACTTGATAGACCAAATCTGCATATGAAAGCAATTTGTAAAGATTTTATGAACAGCACAATAAAAAATTCAACCCTTTTCCCCAGCACTTTCCTTTACAAATACACAAACCCAGTGATGTATCACTCCTGTCTTCACAGTACAATTTCTTTTTCAACTTACTCATAAGCATTTCCTTTTGGCAACTTTCTGCATATTCATTAGCTGTAATTCTTTGCATCTCTTCCACAGACACATAGACAAGCTAACTCACTGACATTTCCTCACTGAACTCTAGGTTTTTTCAGTCATAGAGACAGTAGGAACTGCAGATGCTGGAGAATCTGAGATAACAAAGTGTAGAGCTGGATGAACACAGCAGGCCAAGCCGCATCAGAGGAGCAGGAACGCTGACATTTTGGGCCTAGACCCTTCTTCAGAAATGGGGGAGGGGAAGGAGGTTCTGAAATAAATAGGGAGAGAGGGGGATAGAAGACGGATAGAGGAGAAGATAGGTGGAGAGGAGACAGACAGGTCAAAGAGGCGGGGATGGAGCCAGTAAAGATGAGTGCAGGTGGGGAGGTAGGGAGGAGATAAGTCAGTCCAGGGAGGACGGACAGCTCAAGGGGGCGGGATGAGGTTAGTAGGTAGGAGATTGGGGTGGGGCTTGAGGTGGGAGGAGGGGATAGGTGGGAGAAAGGACAGGTTAGGGAGGCGGGGACGAGCTGGGCTGGTTTTGGGATGCGGTAGGGGGAGGGGAGATTTTGAAGCTTGTGAAGTCCACATTGATACCATTGGGCTGCAGGGTTCCTAAGACGCCAGGCGCCAACTCTCTGACACCTCTTCCTACCGCCCCCTTGATCATGACCCCACCCCCGACCACCAAAACATCATCTCCCAAACCATCCACAACCTCATCACCTCAGGTGACCTCCCACCCACAGCCTCCAACCTCATCGTTCCCCAACCCCACACTGTCGGCTTCTATCTCCTTCCGAAAATCCACAAACCTGACTGCCCTGGTCGATCCATTATCTCCGCCTGCTCCTGCCCCACCGAACTTATCTCCACCTATCTGGACTCCATTTTCTCCTCCTTGGTCCAGGAACTCCCTACCTATGTCCGTGACACCACCCACGCCCTTCATCTCCTCCAGAACTTCCAATTCCCCGGTCCCCAACACCTCATCTTTACCATGGACGTTCAGTCCCTCAACACCTGCATTCCCCACACAGATGGCTTAAAGGCCCTCCGCTTCTTCCTGTCCCGCAGGCCCAACCAGTCCCCCTCCACTGACACCCTCATCCGTTTAGCCGAACTCGTCCTCACCCTCAACAACTTCTCTTTCAATTCCTCCCACTTCCTACAGACAGGGCGTGGACATGGGTACCTGCATGGGCCGAAGCTATGCCTGCCTCTTTGTAGGTTACGTGGAACAATCCCTCTTCCATACCTACACTGGCCCTAAACCCCACCTCTTCCTCCGTTACATTGATGACTGTATCGGCGCTGCCTTGTGCTCCCACGAGGAGCTCGAACAGTTCATCCACTTCACTAACACCTTCCACCCCAACCTTAAGTTCACCTGGACCATTTCTAATACCTCTCTCTCCTTCCTGGACCTCTCTGTCTCCATCTCTGGCAACCACCTAGAAACTGATATCCATTTCAAGCCCATGACTCCCACAGCTACCTAGAATACACCTCCTCCCACCCACCTTCCTGCAAAAATGCCATCCCCTAATCCCAATTCCTTTGCCTCCGCCGCATCTGCTCCCAGGATGAGGCATTCCACTCCCGTACATCTCACATGTCCTCATTTTTCAAGGACCGCAACTTCCCCCCCTCAGTGGTCGAGAACACCCTCGACCGTGTCTCCCGCAACTCATCCCTCACACCCCCTCCCCACAATAACAACCAAAACAGAATCCCCCTCATCCTCAACGAACCACCCCACCAACCTCCGGATCCAACGCATCATCCTCCGACACTTCCGCCATCTGCAATCCAACCCCACCACCAAAGACATTTTTCCCTCCCCACCCTTATCTGCTTTCCGGAGGGACCACTCTCTCCGTGACTCCCTTGACCGCTCCACACTCCCCTCCAGCCCCACCACACCCGGCACTTTTCCCTGTAACCGCAGGAAGTGCTACACCTGCCCCTGCACCTCCCCCCTCACCCCCATCCCAGGCCCCAAGAAGACTTTCCACATCAAGCAGATGTTCACCTGCACATCTGCTAATGTGGTATACTGCATCCGCTGTTCCCGTTGTGGCCTCCTCTACATCGGGGAAACCAAGGGAGGCTTGGGGACCGCTTTGCAGAACACCTATGCTCGGTTCGCACCAAACAACTCCCCCTCCCATTCCTCAGACGACATGTCCATCCTGGGCCTCCTGCAGTGCCACAACGATGCTACCCGAAGGTTGCAGGAACAGCACCTCATATTCCGCTTGGGAACCCTGCAGCCCAATGGTATCAATGTGGACTTCACAAGCTTCAAAATCTCCCCTCCCCCTACCGCATCCCAAAACCAGCTCAGCTCGTCCCCGCTTCCCTAACCTGTCCTTCCTCCCACCTATCCCCTCCTCCCACCTCAAGCCCCACCCCCATCTCCTACCTACTAACCTCATTCCGCCCCCTTGACCTGTCCGTCCTCCCTGGACTGACCTATCTCCTCCCTACCTCCCCACCTACACTCACCTCTACTGGCTCCATCCCCGCCTCTTTGACCTGTCTGTCTCCTCTCCACCTATCTTCTCCTCTATCCGTCTTCTATCCGCCTCCCCCTCTCTCCCTATTTATTTCAGAACCCCCTTCCCCTCCCCCATTTCTGAAGAAGGGTCTCGGCCCGAAACGTCAGCCTTCCTGCTCCTCTGATGCTGCTTGGCCTGCTGTGTTCATCCAGCTCTACACCTTGTTATCTCATTTTTTCAGTCATGTCTGTTTGGACTGCCAGAATTCAAACTTCCCTTTTCTTTAAAATTCATACATACGTGTGGGTGTCACAGGCTGGATTTATTGCCCAATCCTTGAGAATGTGGTGGTGAGCTGCCAGTGTTCCTTTCTGCTGGTATGGATCTTTCCTTCTGAACCAAAACTGCTTGCAGTCCTGGTCACAAAAGCTCAACTTTGTAAACACTTGAGCAATGATCTCACCAGGTAGCTTATCTAGTCGTTTAGCTGAAGTCAAGTTCTTTCTTGGAAATGCTGTATTGAACTCACTGTTCAAACTGCCATTCTGATATTTGAAATCACCTCACATAACTAAAACTGAAAACTCATTTACCTCCACTTTTGAATCCAAGTTTTCCAAGAATAATACTTTATAACCATTTATCACATTATTTGTTCACTAAAGTCCAATGCAATTAAGATAAACTTAGGAATTATCCTCCTATTTCTGACGCAAAACAAAAATAGGGGTCTTGGATATAAAATACTCCATTAAATCCAGTGAAGAATGCAGGAGAAACTCCTTTAGGAGGGAATAATTGTAATGCTGAACTCATTTTTGTGAGGAATGGGGAAAACAAATAGAATTTAAATTCCACTAGCTGCCGTAATGGGATTTGAACCATGGAGCCAGAGCCTCGGTTTCTTGGTTCCTAATATATTGACATCATCACTCACTCTCATTTCTTGCTTAATTAGGCAGTGCGGCATACCTAAAACAGTCACCTTCCTGCCTCCAGCAGAATTATGTCTGGAATGGGACGATCGCATCCTCAGCCACCAATCGTGACCCTTAAGTGGCAAATTAGGACACTAATTAAGTGTCCCTCAGTCCACAGCCACTTGAGCCAATGGTCAACATGTCAACCTGTGTGGAAAGCATATCAGATGAGTGGAAGGATGAACCCTTAAAGTCAATCCGTGCTGATTGAGGAACTGAGCATAAAACCAGTGGGAGGGTATTTGCTTAGATCCATGTCATTGTCCCATATGATTTATTTACTCCTTAGTCCTCTGTAATCCTGCATTGTCTTCTAGCAACAGCCACAGTCTCTTCCATGGTGCTGCCAAGTACAAGAGCTGCTGTCCAGGACCTTTTCCTTATTATTTTTATTCCAGGTAAAGGCCTACCGGTGGCCTTACCAATAGCTGATTGGCATTAGATTTGGTGGGCTCACCAAATAGCTGACAGACCCTGATGTCACAACAGGATTCCACTGGGTTTCTACTCAGCTCCTCCCTTCATCAGGAGGCTTATATGTCTTTTTTGTTGCTATATCTGGCCAACACAAGAATGGGCAAGTACAAAGTGCTTCAGGAAGGGGCAGAGATGCTGGAAGGGGGAAGGGCAATGGTTCTTAAAAATATACAGTTCTGACATTTATACATTGCAGGATGCAAAGGAGAAGAAAGTAGTCAGAAATTTCAACTGCAAATGGCACTTTTTGAAGTCTGTGAGGAAAATCTAGTTGCTGTTGACAAAGATGCTCAAATCCTCCTTTGTAAGTTTATTTTTACAGCAGCAATTATATCAATCATATCACTGGCCCAAACTAAAGCACTGTCAGCAAGACATGTTCAGAAAAAAAATTCAGTTGCACAGGCACAATAGATGACGACGAGTAGTATTGTGACATTGTAACAGTTTTACACGCATCAATACATCATTTTAGGCATTTTGATTTAACTTAATTTCAATACCTTTGGTTAACAAAAAAAATCTATTAATTTTGAATTTAAAATGAACATGAACAATTGAAATAGGACAGTTGCTGTTTGTGGAAGAGTTTCAATCCTGTATATTTCTGCATAGAACTGACTCCTAATTTCACTTCTGAAAAGATCTGGCTATAATTTTAAAGCTGACACCCCAAAGTACTAGCCTTCCCAGGCAGCATAAATAATTTCTATCTGCCCTAATCATTCTCCTTAATATTTTAAACTTTGAACAAATCACTTTCTGTTTTTCTTCATAATTTCATCCTTGGATTCTAGATTTCATTTTAATGTATTTAAATGCTGAACTACACTGTATACCCTGCGATGCAATTTATCCTAAGATGTGCCCAGAACTACTCTCACTACTCCCAACTGTGATCTGACGAGAATTTTGTATTGAGTAACTTGAGTTCTTCTAACTCCATCTGCTACTCTAATTTCTAATATTTTAGATCCATGTAAATAGATCCCACATCTCTTTGAACTTTCACTGCTTGATGCTTTTCATCATGGATAATGTTCTGAGTTTTTTAGGTTCATTGTAAATTATATCCACACTTGCACCCATTTAAATCTATTTTCCATAATTATGTTTACTCATAATGTATTCATATTTAAACTGTATGTATGCTGGATTGGTGGCTTTGTTCTTTAATAGTTGTGCTTTTAGGCCCCAACACAGATCTTTGTGGGATATCGCAAGTCATGAGTCAGGCCTACTCTGTCTCTTCCCACTCTACCAATTTCCTAACTAGAATTGTGTACACTTCCATGAGTTTCAAATTTAGCTAATAAGGAGTTATCAAATATCTTTTGGAAGTTCATACAATAACATCCATAGATATTACTATGTCCATTGTTTCAGTTAATTCTGCAAAATATAAAATCATTGATTTGTTCTCATACAAGAAGCAGATATTTGGCCCAACAAGTATCTGCCCACTCACTGCAAGAGCAACTCCTCTTGTCCCGTTCCTTAATCCTTTCCCTATAGCCTTGCATTCTTTTCCTCTCCAGGTGCTTGTCTAAGTGCCTTGTAAACGTGCCTTATAAAAGCCATGATCAAAATTGTCTTTATTACTCTCAGGCAATGCATTCCAGTTCTTAGTCAATTACTGCATAAAAATACTTTTCTGCATATTGCTGTTGGTTTGTTTGCTTCTCAGATTAAATCAGTATCCTCTTGTTCTCAATCCTTCTCCAACAGTAGACCATTTCTCCCAATGTGCTTTGTCTTGATTCTTCCTGATTTCGAATACATTATCAAATCTTCACTCAACCTTCTCAAATCTGTCAAAGTAACTAAAGTCCCTCATCCCTGGAATCATTCTGCTAATTTTTTTTTATGCATCCTTTCCAAAGACTTAAGGTCTTTCAAAAGTATGGTGCCCAGATCAGACACAATATTCAAGTTGAAGGTTAAAACTATAAAGATTAAATTGAATCAGGTTCGTCAAGTGTAATTTTATTTATTCACTTGTGGGTTGTGGCTGTTGTTGGCTGGTCTGACATTTATTTGTCCATTCTGATTCCCCCTGAAAAGGTGGTGCTGAGCTGCCTTCTTGAACTGTAGCAGTCCTTGGGGTGTTAGAGAGTTCCAGGATTTTGACCCCTTGGAGTGAAGGACTTACAGTTCCAAGTCAAGATGGTACTTGGCTTGGAGAACTTGCAGTTTGAATACTATTTGGCACTTATTAGCTCAATCCTGAATGTTGTCTAGGTCTTCCTGCATATGGATATTGACTGCTTTAGTAGCTGAAAAGGGATGATTGGTGAACAATGTGCAATCATTGCCAAACATTCCCAATTCTCACCTTATGGTAGATCTGTGCAATCTTTCTTGGATCAACTGAAACAATTGAAGGCGTTCAATGCAAGGGAATTCATGCAGGCCTGTATTCCAACCAGAACTCCATCAACAAACACGTTGAACTGGACCCAATGTACAAACCACTGAAAAACAGAACTGGAAATAATGCCAACCACCCCAGTAAACCGAGGCATATAAATAACAAGCAGGTAAGAATACCAACACTTCACCAGAGGCGCACTGACCATGATACCTAGCAGGGTGACAAAACATCTGCAAACAAACCCATCGACTCGGCGAGCAAGTCTACAAACTCATCCACAACCCAAGCTACAAATCTTAATAACTTTAAAGGTGTTCAATCTTTGTATAAGTGAATTTAGAGTCTAGTAATTTCCTGACAACAAATGTTAAACTAAGAACTAATGTTATTCCTTGTGTATAATTAAGGCTGAGATAGATAGATTCTTGATCAGTAGGGGAATGATGGGTTACAGAGAACACACAGGAAAGTGGGCATCAGCAATAAGAACGTTAGACAAAGGAGAGTCAGTGTAAGGGATTATCTGGATTTAGAGAAGACTTTTGACAAGGTACCACACAGGAGGCTGCTAAATAAGAGCCCATGGTGTTCTGGGAAAGGTACTGGCAATGGACAGAGGACTGGCTGACTGGCAGGAGGCAGCAAGTGGGCATTAAAGGATCTTTTCCAGAATGGTAGCTGGTGACCAATGGAGTTTCACATGGGTCAGTGTTGGGACCACAACTATTCATGTTATACATAATGATCCAGACAAAGGAACTCACGGCATAGTTGGTAAATTTGCAGATGACACAAAGATGGGTGCAGGGGCAGGCAGTGTTGAAGGAAGCTGCAGGACTTGGATAGGCTAGGAAAGTGGGCAAAGAAGTGGCGGATGGAATATAATGTGGGAAAGTGTGAAACTATGCACTTTGATAGGGAAAATAGATGTGTAGACTATTTTCTAAACTGGGGAAAGGCTTTGGAAATCTGAAGCACAATGGGACTTAGGAGTCCTAGTTCAGAATTCTCAAGGTAAACATGCAGATTCAGTTCGGAAGGTAAATGCAATGTTAGCATTCATTTCAAGAGGGATAGAATACAAAAGCAGGAATGTACTAAGGAGGCTGTATGAGGCTCTGGCCAGATCACATTTGGTATATTGTGAGCAATTTTGAGCCCTGTACGTAAGGAAGGATGTACTTGCCTCGGAGGCGGGGTTCAGAAGGATGATCGTGGAAATGGAGGGCTTGTCATACGATGAGTGTTTGAGGAACTAGACAGAGTTTTGAAGAATGAGGGGGTATTGTAATTTAGAATACTGAGAGGCCCGAAGAGGGTGGACGTGGAGAAGATGTTTCCACTTGTAGGAGAGACTAGGACTTGAGTGCACAGCCTCAGAGTTAAAGAATGACCCTCAGAACAGAGGCTGGTAAATCTGTGGAACTTGATATAGCAAAAGGCTGTGGAGGGTAAGTCATTGACTGTCTTTAAGAAAGAGAGGTTGATAGGAACTTGATTAGTAATGTACAGGAAGATAGCAGGAGAAAGGGGTTGAGAAGCATATCAGCTATAATCGAATGGCAGAACGCACTTGAATGGCCTAATTCTGCTCCTATATCTTACTGTCTCATGAGCCATGCTCCTATCAAATTTATTATCCTGCCATGACAGATGGTGGAATCTGAATTCAATAAAAAAACACCCCGCCTCTTCGATCTGTTTGTTTCCTCTCCACCTATCCTCTCCTCTATCCCTCTTCTATCCGCCTCCCACTCTCTCCCTATTTATTTCAAAACCCCCTTCCCCTCCCCCTTTTCTGATGAAGGGTCTAGGCCCGAAACGTCAGCCTCTCTGCTCCTATGATGCTGCTTGGCCTGCTGTGTTCATCCAGCCCTGCACCTTGTTGACTTGAAAGAAGAGTCTAGTGGTGACCATGAAAGCATTGTTGATTGTCAGGAAAACCCATCTGGTTCACTAATGTCCTAGGGAAGGAAATCTGCTGTCCTTACCTGGTCTAGCCTACGTGTGACTCTGGATGCACAGCAATGTGGTTGGCACTTAAAAATTAGGGACAGGCAATAAATGCTGGTCGAGCCTGCAATGCCCACATTCCCATGAATGAGTGAAAAATAAGGCAGAGCAGAATCAAGGGACCATGTGCCCCGCTCCTGTTCCCATTTCTTATGGTTATTAAAGAGAATGTATGTGAAAGTTGAGTTTAGAACTTTCACTAGAACCAAATGAATTTCTCCCCATTCACTGCAACCTGACTTTTTTTTTGTTTGCTTGAATTGTAGCAACGGTAGTAGGTTGCTTTTAATAGGCATTTGGAATCACCAGAGGTTAAAAATTTCAACGATTGCTGCCACCGAACACATAAGTAAACGCCAAAAATCATAAGTCAATTCGCATCAGAAAAAAGTTAAATTTTACATTTCTGCAGTACTCGTCATGACTTCCAACGTCCTAACACGCAATCCATGACGCCTGTAATGAGGTGGAGACACAGTTGTGATGTAAAATGACTCATAATATTTCAGCCGAAACTTTCTTGACCCTCCGTAGCTGCTTTCCCAATGTTAGGTAAAACTGCATGGAACACTGTCTGATTTTAGTCTAGTAATATTTTGGAATAAACCAGTGACCGTTTACACACTTCACATTTTCAACAAGATAATCTTGGTTTCCCTTGAGTGAGCTTTGGTCGGTAATTCCCCTTCCCTCAAGCACGAAACTGATCAGCACGCAGATTCTGTAGCCAAATGAATCCTGTTGAAAGATTCACTGATCCACTTGAGCTCAAGTCAATCACATTCATAGGGCCAGAGATGGACATCCTGCGGAGAGAATGTAGATTTCGTACATCCTTATTACCCTCCCAGTCTCCGTCCTCAAAAATATTTTGGCCTAAAGACCAGAAGAAGCACAGATGTGTTGGCGGGGGGGTAACGGGTAAGTTAACGCATGCGCTAATCTTCCTTCTGCTCCCTTGATGCTTTGCGCACCGTTTGTTGGGCGGAGCCAATGGCAGCGTCTGGCGACGGGATGACGCAGCTGGCTCTTGAGCGCGCATCGTGCGTTGAGGGAAAAACCCTTCCCCTGAGGGAAGGCCTGACTCGCACGCGCCCGCATGCGGGTGGCTGGTTGGATGCTTGTGCGAAGTGCGTGATTGCGGGAGACGGTAGAGAGCGTGTGACGTTAGAGTGTGGATTCCCCCCTTCCCCGTCCCTCCTCCCCCCCCCCCCCCCCCCCCCCGCCTTCCCGGACACGGCTGCTAGGAAATAGAGAGCGGCGCGAGCGACTGGCAAGCAGACGGATTCAGACATGGCGGCGGCGACAGGAGGAGGAGGGGGTAAAATCCGAAACAAGAGACACCATATTATCAGCAAGCCTTACGCCAAGAACCAGGTATTTTATTTTATTATTTGTTATTACTCTAAAGAAAGGATTGACAAACCGGACCGCGTTGGGTTTAACTATGTCGCTGCAGGAGGAGGTGGCTGTCGTGAGCCCCGCTTTCTCGGCAGAGGCGGTGTGCGCGAGCCGCGGCCTAGTGGCTGGCTTCAGCGGCCTGAGCGATTGAGGGCAGAGTCGGGACCAAACTCGGGCCCAACCTATTCAAAAAGGAAAAAAAAAACAAGCTGGAGGCGGGTAGAAGGTGCTGACGACGAAGCTGTAACTCCCAACGGAATCTCCCCTCTGAGTTTTATTTCATTGTGTTTACTGTATAAATGCTGTTGAGACGCTTCTTGTCGGCTTGTTATTCGCTTCCGGTTGCAATCTCACGGCCGGCTGGTAAGAGCGAATTTCTCTCCCTTTTTTCCCTCGACTTTGTCTCCCCTATTTCACTGCGCGGCCCTGTTTTTCCTCCTTTCAATCTCCCGATCTGGCCTGAGCCTCACTGGGTAGGCTTTCGGCTTGCTCCGGTCTCTCCGTCCTTTTCGCGTGCCGCCATGGGCATTTTGGCGCGGACTTGATTTGTTCCTTTAAAGCGAGTTTTCCATAACATTTTCGAATACTACTGTTCCTGTTGTGGAAGTTTGGCGTACAAGTGCGATTTTAGCCAGTACATTCGTGTACTACATTTTAACCAGTTTCCTCTTCTACGATCAGCGTGGGTTTGGGGGTGGCTCAGCTGCGACTTTGACATGAGGACTTCACGCTGCCGGTATCTGGAGTACTCGACTATTGCCACCGATTTCTTTATAAATTTGCATTTTGATGGGACACTTTGCTTTTTGAACTTAAGCTAGTATATTGTCTGAGGGATTTATATTCGAACAATCTGATTTTAAATTTGTTACAATTAATGCTAGTATATGGGGTTGTTAGTATCAAAAACAACCGAAAGCATTTTGGTTGGAAGATCGTTCTTTTTTGTGTTCAAAAATTTGGTATTCAAAAATAATTTCCACACAACTTTTACATTCATTCCCAACTATACAGAGGAGGTATTGCTTCATTGTGATAGGCTTTTGCGAACGATGGTGTTGCATTCTTATCGAAATGGAAGAAGTGCATAATCGGCACTCTGTAGGCTTGTTTTACCCCTTCAGTAAGATGCTCGTTTCTTATCTCGGATGTTAATATGTGGGAGGGAAAAAAAGTGAATTTATGAAGTGCACTGCGCAAGTACAGACATCTTGAAGTACTTTGCAGTCACTAAAGTTTCGTCCTTGTAACATAGAAAACCTGACAGCCAATTTGTGCATACAGAACTTCAACAAACAAATGTGTTGGGCCAAGTAATCTTTCTCTGTGATGCTCTTCTTTGAGACAGTTCCATGACACCCTTTATGTCCACCTGAGAGGCAGTTGGGCTACAGCATCTCAATGGTGCAGGACTCTGTCTGGGTGCCGTGCTGGTGTGCCAGTCTTGATTTTTATGCTCAAATTTTAATGAATCTTAAATTTGAAACCCCATGACCCAGATGAGTATCACCCTCAGTCATTAGGACCATATTGATATTTTTGTTCTGGAAAGAATTTCACCTGCTAAATGCATGCATTTGTGTGTGTCCAGCATCTATGGAATATGCAGTTATTTACTACTTTAAGGATTATGGTTACACTTGCTACATATACTATTTATATAGTTAAACGTCACCTTACATTTTACCTTTCAAATATTATTGCCACCTCTATAGATTGTTGGATCTTTCACTCTTCAGTCTTATTTCCAACCATCTATTTGTTTTCATGTACACTAACTCATTGTCAGTACACACATTCTTAGTGTATCACAGTCTTGCAGTTTAAACACATGCTTGCAAGTTACCATACTAAACTTATATTTATTTGGTGCTTTAAACCTAGCTTCACAAAGTGTCATCAGATAAAATTTAATGCTGCCATATCAGAATATGATGCAAAGTTTTAAAACTCCTTTTGGAGAAGGGTGAGGTGGAACATTTTTTTGGAAGGAATTCCCTTTATGTCCCTAACTGCAGAAGGTGTGTCATTGGTACACTGAAGGAAATTGGGAATTCAAAATGCACCAATGTTCCAGGTTTGAAGTAAATGGGACTTCTTTGTTCCACCTTTCCTAACATGATTGTAACTAGATTATCTCCAGTGATGACTACTTTTCCTACACCATTATGCCATTGTTCAGAAGACCCATGGAAGCCTCCTTTTATTTACTTGCATGTTGCCTTCTGATGGTATCATCCTCAGTCTTGAGTCAGCTTCCAGTTAAAACATTGGTCGGGCTGAAACCATTGTATTTGGATCTCCAGTTTAATCTTGCTGACCCAGATTTATCTCAACCATGGCATCCTCTTCAAATCTGAACTGAGATTCTGAATTCAAATCATTATTATAAATAGCACTTATGTTAACCTGTAAGATGTTCTTGTTACGTTCTGCATTTATGTAGAAGCATGCTGGTAATTTGTGATAGACATATTCATTTTTTAGATGTGAATATGCAGGGAATGTAGGAATATGGACCATATGCAAGCAGATGGGATTAGGTTAGAATGGCAACTTGGTGGGCCACATGACTGGTCCTGTGCTGTACTGTACTCTATAATATCGCTTGCATCTATGTAAACCTTTCTGCTACTGAAACTCAACTATGCCTTTATTGCTTTGATTCAAATATGTCCATGCCTGCTTTTGTCCTCCGCTGCCTGGAAAGATCACCTCATTCAAAACTGCCTTTTATGTTCTACCTATACTTTGTCCCACTTGTTAATCCTTCCTGTCCTTGCCGACTGTCATTGTCTCCTGATCCGCCAGGCACTTAATTTCTAAAATTTTCAGTTAAATCCCTTTTATATCCTCTTCCGTCATCTCTGAAACCTCACCCAGCCCACTACTTTTCACCCACACAAATTTTCCACCCATCATGCCTTTGGTTCAAAATGTCTTCAGCTGTCTATCCATTCTGTTCCGCCAGCCGTAACCTGAAACACTATCGATGTTTTAAAAAATACTAAGTAATTGGGATGGTGGCGGAGGAATTAATGACCGCTAGAAAGAAAGTACTAAAGAACCTAATGGGACTAAAGACTTATCAGTTGCATCTTAGGATATTAAAGAATGTAGCTACAGTGATAGTGGATGCGCTGGTTGTAATCTTCCAAGACTCCATAAATTCTGGCAAGGTGGCAGTGGATTGCAAAACCACCACTGTAACATTATTCAAAGTGCAAGGGTAACTCACATCAGTTAATTATTTCCTAGTAAACGTAACATTTGTTATTGGGGAAAATGTTGGAGTTTATTATAAAGAACATAATAGAGCACTTAGTGATACATAACAACAGAATCAAGCAGAGTCAGCATGGGTTTGTTCAGGGGGTATCTGACAAACCTATTAGAATTCTTTGAAGGGATTACAAGCAGGATAGATAATGATGTAATATATTTGGAATTCCAAATAGCATTCGATAAGGTACAGTACATGACACTACTTAAGATGAGCCCATTATGTTGGGGGTAGTATGTTAGCATAGAGCGTTGCCTAACTATTAGAAGACATAGAGTTGGGATAAGTGAGGCATTTTCAGATTAGCAACCTGTAACTTGTGGAGTGCCTCAAGGGTCACTGCAGGAGTCACAATTATTCACAAAATACACAAAGGCACAAACTATAACCAAATTTGCACCAAATGTGACAGCATCTTCCAAACCCATGACCACTTCCATGTAGAAGGACAAGGGCATCGGACATATGGGAACACCACCACCTCCAAGTGACTCACCATCCTGACTGCTGGGTCAAAATCCTGGAATTCCCTCCCTAATAGCATTGTGGGTCAACTCACAGCAAGAGGACTGCAGTGGTTCAAGAAGGTAGTTCACCACCATCTTCTCAAGGGCAACAGGGGATGGGCAAGAAAAGAACCCACATCCCACAAATGACTAGGGGGAAAAAAAACAAAAAGAAAAATGACAAATGTGTGGGAAGGCAACTGGTGAGGATGATACAAGAAGGACAAATTAGTGAGTGGGCATAAAATTGGCAGATGGCGATATAATGAGGTTATGCCCTTTTGTTTGGAAGAATAGAGGAGCTGAATATTATTTAAATGAAGAAAAACTGCAGAAAGCTGCAGTATAGAGTGGTTCAGAGGTCCTTATGCATAAATCATGAGAAGCTAGCATACAGTTTGAAGTAATCAGGAAGACAAATTGGATATTGACCTTTTATTTTAAAGGGAGTAGATTATAAAAATAGGGAAGTCTCTTTTAAAATCATACAAGGTGCTAGTTAGGCCACACGTAGAACACTGATCAATTTTAGTTCCCTGATCTAAGGAAAGATTTCTTGATATTGGAGGCAGTCAAGAGAAGGTTCATTAGATTGATCCTGTGTAAGGAAGGGTTTTCTTGTGAAGACAGGTTGAGTCGGATGGGCTTGCTGGAGTTTAGAAGAATGAGAGTCAGTATTATTGAGACATATAAGATTCTTAGGCGGCTTAGTGTGGTGGATACTGAGGGGTTGTTTTCCCCCTTTATTGGAGTGTCTAGGACCAGACGGTGTAATCTGAGTCGGAAGTTACTTACTTAGGACAGAGGTGAGGATTTTATTATCCCTGAGGGTAATGAATTAGTGAAGGTTTTACCGCAGAGTC